TTTGTGAAGAGGAGGGGATCCTTGGTGTCAATCCTGATTGTTTATGTGGATGATATTGTTGTCACAGGAAATTACCTAAGTGAGATTGACAGTTTGAATAAGAATCTACACAGAGAATTTGAAATTAAGGATCTTGGGGAGCTGGGGTACTTCTTGGACATTGAAGTTGCAAGATCAAAACATGGAATCTTTATTTCTCAGAGGAATTATGTTTTGGATCTTCTACAAGAAACAGGGAAGCTTGGAACAAAAGCTATTAGTACTCCTATTGATCAGAATCACAGAATTAATGCATTAGAAGGTGAGCTGGTAAAGGACATTGGGAGATATTAGAGACTTGTGGGGCGATTGCTATATTTGTGTATGACAAGACCAAATATCTCCTATGCAGTGAGTATGGTGAGTCAATACATGCATGCCCCACGAGTCCAGCATTTGGAGGTTGTTGACAGAATTCTTGTTTATCTGAAGGGACACCTAGGTAGAGGCATATTATTTGCTGATCATGAACAGTTGAAGCTAGAGGCTTATACAGATGCTGATTGGGCAAGATGCCTTTATGATAGGAGATCTACTTCAGGAGTCTGCACCCTTGTTGGGGGTAATCTAGTCTCGTGGAAAAGTAAGAAACAGACAGTGGTGGCAAGATCAAGTGCAGAAGCTGAATTCAAGGCCATGGCACATGGAGTTTTAGAACTTCTATGGATCCGCTCCTTGTTAGGAGAGATTGGTGTTGAGGTAGAAGAACCTGTGATGTTGTACTGTGATAATCAAGTAGCAATTAAAATTGCCCACAACCCAGTTCAGCATGACAGGACAAAGCACATTGAAGTGGATAGATATTTCATAAGAGAAAGGGTGACTTCAGGGGAAGTGTGTTTGCCATACATTGCTTCTGATTTGCAGCTTGCTGATGTTCTCACAAAAGGTGTTGCAAGGAACAAGCTGGAGCATGATCTACGCAAGTTGGGAGTGTGTGACATTTACTCCCAACTTGAGGGGGAGTGTTGAGTTTGGCCAATTTCAAGTTATTGGGCCCAATTTATTTATCTTTTATTTTTAAGTTGTTAAGTTAGGAAGTTATTGGGCTTTAGGCCCATTAGATTATGTTTTTTAGTTGTGACTGTTCAGCTACTTAAGTAGCCGCCCTACTAAGGGCATTCTTGTAATCTCTTATTATTTTAATTCAAGTATATAATACAAATAGGGGTTGGCGGCCAGAACTAATTCAATTCTGGTTGACATCCCACTCTCTTTCTTCTCCTCTCTTCTTCTCTACTGCTGAAACCTTTCAACTTCTTCTACTTTTCTTCACAAGGAATTCATCTAAAACTGTTATCAACAACTTCTACTGCTTAGATGGTTTTACAATGGCTTTTTACTAGGACTATTGGGAAATCTTGAAGGATGATTTAGTTGAGGTTTATAATGAATAATTTGAAAGAGGTACCATAAACCTTGGAGTTAATGCTAAACTTTTTTGGTTCTAGTACCAGAAAAACTACAAACTCTCAATCTAGGGGATTTCAGACCAATCAACCTTATCCATAGCATATATAAGATAATTTCCAAGATTCTATCTATGAGGATAAAAAGGGTACTCTCAGCCATAACCAATCAATTTGTTCAGGATATACAAATTCTAGATCAAATTTTAATTGCTAATGAGGTGTGGAGGAAAAGAAAAGATCAGGTGGGAAGGGACTGAGTTTGTAAATTAGGCATTGAAAAGGCCTATGATCTAGTAGATTTGTCCTTCTTGATTGAAATTTTGAGAAATTGTGGGTTTAGTGATTAATGGTGCAAATGGATTAGGGGTTGCCTACAAACTTGTCACTACTTGCTTCTAGTCAATGGGGTAGCTAGGGACTTCTTCCAACCTGTAGGGGTCTTAGACAAGGGGACCCACTTTCGCTCTTTCTCTTTATCCTTGTAGTAGATGTGTTGAGCAGGTTAATTTCTAGTGCTGATAGGGCTACAACTGTTAGGGATTTGAAGGTGGGTAAGGAAGGAATGATAGTCACACGACTTCAATTTGCTAATGTCATAACTATTTGTGAGGATGTGTGATTACAAGAAGGTGAGGAATTTGACATTGGTGGTGAGATTTTTCCAAAAGTTGCCTACTAGGAATTAATGTGGGGGAAGTTGAATCAAGAGCCTTTATTGGAATCCTAGGTTGCTCTATTATTCAATGACTTTTGAACTACCTGGTCTCCAACTCGGGGTCAATCCAAAGGAGAGTAGATTTTGGAATCCTATCATAGAGAACGTGAAGAAGAAATTAACATCTTGAAAAAGAAACTAGATCTCGTTGGGAGGGGGGTAGAATAACCTCAATGAAATCTACTTTGGCAAACCTTCCAATCTACTGCCTTCAATATTTTAGATCCCATGGAAGATAGCAAAGGAAATTTTGAGAATTATGAGGGATTTCTTATGAGAGCCGAGAGAAGGAAGTTTGTAAAAGTAAGAGCCAAGGTGGGTTGGGGATTGGTGAGTTGGGAACAAAGAACCTTTCATTGCTGGGGAAGTGGTTGTGGAGGCTACCATTGGAGAAAGAAAAACTACAAGGCAAGGTGATAGTAAGCATCGATGGATTGACAACCGATGAGTGGGATGCAGGTGTATTGTGAGGGCTACCTTGATGTCTCCTTGGACGGCTATACATGGCATAATTCAAAATTTCCTAAACTTTGTTAGGTATGATTCTTGTTCTGACAATAAAATTCTTTTTTGGAACGATATTTGGGTGGACAGTTCTACTCTCAAGTTTTTGTTTCCTTCTTTGTATGCCATCTCTACTTTCAAAAAAGAACCAATTTCTAAATTTCTGTCATCCTCATTATCTTTATCACCCATGGGTTATGAGTGGGATATGGGATTTCGGAAAAGAACCAATTTCTAAATTTCTATCCCTTCCATTGTCTTTTTTCTGTCAAAGAAGTGTGGGACAGACCTATTCCTCCTAAAATGGGGGCTTTCTGTTTTGAAGTGTACCATGCAAAGATTAACACCTTGTACTTGTGACAAAAGAAAAGACCAAATTGCTATTTGTCCCCAAATTGGTGCACACTTTGTAAGGCCGATGGTGAGACATGTTACCATTTACTAATCTCCTATCCTTTTGTTGTGTGTATTTGGGAGAAGTTCTTCTCTCTCTCTGTTTGTAGGTAGATGAGGCCTTCAGATTGGACTAGGCTATTAAGTGCAGAAACCTTCAGGTGGCCAAGGGAAAGAGGAAGGATTTTGTGGAGATGAACAAGGGAAGCAGTTGTGTGGACAATTTGGGAAGAGAGAAATGCAAGAATCTTAAAGCAAGAGGAAAGAAGCACGGAAGCAGTTTTGGAAATCCAGGTTCATCAGGTATAGGAGGAATTTTCAGGAACCAGGAAATATCATTGCTCTGTTCTCAGGACCATTAGGTGAAGGGGACTCAACAAGGCTGAACTCCTTGTACTCCAAGGACTACACCAGACTAAGGAGATTAATTTAAACAATTTGATTGTGGAGGGGTGACTCTAAAATTGTCATTGGCTGGTTGGAAAACAGGAATGAAGCAATGTGAGGATATAATTGAAACAAAACAAATCAAATGTCTAACGAGGAACATAAATTTGAAGGTACAATGCCCAGTTCCCAGCAAAAATGTTCCTCATTCTTTGTGGACTCCACCAGCTCCAGGTTTCATGAAGTTGAATTTTGATGGCGGTAATGAAGGAAACCCCAGCCCTTCAGGCATTGGGGGAGTTTTTAGGAATGAGGAAGGTGAGATTTATTACCATGTTTTAAGACCCAATTAGGGAAGGGGACTCACTCTAAACTGAAATTATGGCTGTTTTGGAAGGTGCAAAAAGGGCCAAGGAGCTAAACATTAGCAGTTTGATCATTGAAGGAGATTCTAAGTTGGTAATAGAATGGTTAAAAAAGGAGGACAATGGCATGTGGAGTTACATTAATGAAAGAAGGACCATTAAGTGGCTGACTCTGGGCATGTATGTGTGCAGTGGGTCAAAAGCTGTGTTAATTCGTTTGCAGATGCACTTGCCAAACAAGGGGTGGGAAGGAACCAATTGTTTTGGGCTCCGTTGTAATTTTACAGTTTTTTTAGGGGGGGAGTTAAGAGAGTTTAGCTCCCCCTGTTCTTTTACCTGTTTCTTTCTCTTTTCATTAATAAAATGATTCTGTTATTGATAAAAAAAGATATAATGGGTGTCGAGATCAGTAAATAGAATGGCTGGCACTTTAGCCAAGTAAGGGGTCACTAGAAGTCATTTGTATTGGGCTTGCTTTTAAAATGGTTAATATCATAGAGATAGGGTGGTAATAAAGTTTAAAGCTACTCATAAAAAAAACTAATAAAAAAATCCAGAGGATATGAAAGAGCTCTTTTCTACCCTTGTTAGATGTTTCTCTTCTCCTCTCTTGTTTCCTGGGTGAAGGAGCTGTTGATTGGCCATGTTTATTTTACAAAAGTTTAAGAAATGATTTAGAAAAGCATGGTAAGTTCACTGGTTAAAAAAAGCATGGCATGGTCTCATGCATGTCTTATTCAGGGTAGGGAGGGAGGTTACAAGTAGAGAAGAGTTACATACATCGGTAAGGTTTAATCTATCCAAGAAAAACAACTACTGCATACTGGCAGGAGTAAACCAAAAAGAAAGAAGGGAAAGATAACACAGAGCATCAGTGTCACTTGTTACTGTGTAGTAGGTGACAAGAAGCCCTTCAGTACCTAAGGCGAGCAGCAGGAATACTTCTAACACCCTTGGTGGGATTAGTTTTGCACAAGTGCCAAGCTTCCTTCATGTTAACTGTTAAGGACAGATACATAAAATGGTAATGTTTGGCTCAATGTTGCTGGTATAATGTTACTAGCAGCTCAAGGATTTTTTTGCCTTCCTTTTTTTTCTTTCTTTATTGCTGCAATTCTACCTTGCTTACAAAGTGGGCCTGGTGATATTCCTGATTAGCTAATAGTTGAGCTGGATTTTGTGCAGGAATGGCTCTCTACCTTGCTCAGGAAGTTACCAACAATGCAATTATTGATCTAGATTTCATTGCTTATGGTTGGGGTAGGGCATCTTACAACCCCAACTCAAAGGCTACAACTGAGGCATTGCATCAGCCAAGTCACAGGAAAAGGAAGCATAGTACTATAACAGCATCCTTTCAAGTGCAGCAAAGTGGTGTTGGCAGGGAGGTTGAAACAGTAAAAAACAAACAAGTAACTCCAATTGCTGTCCAGATAGCTGCACTACAGGCATTGGAGGCTCTTCTTACTGTGGTATGCATGTTTTTGTTTTAAGTAAATTGTGGTTTCAGCTTGTGTATAATTTATTTTTCACTTACCAATTAGACTAAGCTAGGGTCAACTGGAACTGAACCAATATTTGTGCATCTGTTGAAATCTTTACATGTTGGGTTCACCATTTGCTAGATCCAGATCACAATACACCATTGTTAAAAGTCAACTAAATAACTGATCCGAATTACTGAACACTCCAGCTAGTTTAATGTAGAATTGAAGGATGTAAGCCCATCAATAAGAAGACTACAGAATACTCATTCTATTGCTTCATGACTCGTGAAGTTACTCTTTTAACATAGAAAATTCCACTGGGACCCTGGCCCTGCGACTGTAAGAAAATGCTAGATGTGCTCAATTGGGTGAAATTTTTGAATCGATCATGCTACTTTGAAATTTGATGGTGTTTTTTATAGCAGTTCAAGGGGTTGGTTTACTTTGGTACACACTTCATTTGCTTTGCTCTTCTTTTTGGAATTGATTGGTGGGTTCCACCCTTTATGCTTAGTGAGTGAAGTATTATATACATTGTCGAGCCTTGATTTCCTCCTCTCTTCATTATGTAATGATTGTTTTTTCTCCAAGAATAAAAGAACAGAAAGTTGTTTCAAGGAATTCTAATACACCCTCATTTTTGTAATCATCAATTGGACATGATGATTTATTATTCATAATGTGACAAGCCCATCCCCAACAAGGATGAGAAAAGTACAAAAACCAGCCAACTGCTGTGCCAATGCTTAACTTCCTGTATGTAACAAAGTCTATCCCTTGGCTTGGGCCTCCCCCAATCAGATTTGGTCATGTGATTCCTGCCCCAGCCATGGAATCAGCTAGATTATTGGAAGACCCTGGAATCCAATTGAACAAGTAGTTCATATAATGTGCCAATGTCTTTGCTTCTTTAATTAGATGTCTAAGAGTCCTAGGACAAGATTCTATTGATGTAAACCAGGAATTACAACCTGACAGTCTCCCATTCTAGCTTTGGCCAATGTTTTAAAAACTGACCTGGAGGCTGACCTTCTTTTCCTCTGGGTGGTGGGCCAGCAGTTCAATCATCTGGGTTGAACAGCAACACATGCCATCATAAATAAATAATACAAAATAGTGAAATACAAGAAAAAAGATATGTACACATTGCAGAAACTAATGCATTTGTTGATCGATACATTCATGGATGCCATGTACATAGATACAGGTGTGTTTTTAAAAAGATTTAAACTTAAAAATTAAAATATTATATAATTTGTAACTCGTCACCTACTGTCTAGGTCTCTGATTGATGGTTCAATCACTCCAGGGTGCAAGGTCTCTGATTGAGTCAATGGGTTTTGTAGATCTATAAATTCATGGATGCCCTACATACATAGATACATATCCATAGATTTAGGTGCGCAATTAAAACATTTAAACTTAAAAATTAAAATATATTAGAATTTGTAACTCCTCGTCACCTAGTGTCTAGGTCAACTGGCTTAATGGATCAATCGCTCAGGTTGCAAGGTCTCTGACCGAGTCAATTGGTTTTGATTAAAGACAGGTTAGGATTGTGGTTGACCCGAGCTGTATCATGACCTAGGTGGCCAACATTTTTTTTTTCAAATACCTCCAATATTTTGCTAATATGTTTGCGATATTTCAGATTTCATTGATAGACTATATATTTAAGGTTTACAATTTTAGAAGATTTTTAAAATCTTTTTGATTTTTCATTAAAATCATCATATTATTTTTTTTAAATATTTTCCTAAAACAGCCATGGAGAATTGGTAATTGGATAATTGGCTTACTGTTTTAATATGATTCACTTAATAAGTCACTATAATTCAAAAAAGAAAATAAAATGCAGATAACTACAAAATAGTATACTCAAAATAATCAAAACATATAGTAACAAAAAAAAAGACAAAAGTCAAAATGGCAAGTGATTGACATATATATATATATATATATATTTTTTGATGAATGAAGTGATTGACATATTTAATGAAGAGAAGATGGCTAAAATACTAAAACGGAGACAAAGAGAAAGATACCCATTAAAGTCTCTCAATTTTGTCCTATTTGATTTATACAGTTCTTTGCCATGGTTTTTTGAGTTTTAAATGTGCTATTATATTTATGTTAATGGTTCCTTGAAGGTTTATTAAATAATTCCATGTTTCTAGAGATCATTCTTGATTTTACAAATATCTTAGCAAAACAAATGAAATATCTCTTAAATTTCTTGGTCTCTACAAGGCAACCATCTATATTGAAATTACAAACCATGGTTTTCACCAAATCCTCTACTGTGAAATTCCTTCAAGATGAGAATGGGGCTAAAAGACTTTCTCAGGCCACTTTCTTTTCAGATTTGTTAACTTATTTTTGGGCTTCCAAAGAGGCTCAAATACATTTTGATGAACTTCACATTTATTTCCTATGGTAATTGAAGTTATAAAAACTTGTCATTGTCTTTACTTTGATTAGAAATTGTAACTTCCTATGTACACTCAAATCTGAGTTGAACTCCACAATAAACCTTAGTCTATGTTTTGTTAAAATTCCACTCCAAAGAATTACTAGTTGAACAATGAGTTCTGCGCCAAAAATGATTCTTTTTAAGAAGCTAATTTTTTAGCTTCAAAGAATCAATTCTTAGAATAAGTTTGTTAAGATGTGCCGAATAGGGGTAGTTTAGTCTTCTTCTGTTTATTAAGTAACTTGCTTATGTGGCAGTGTTATTAGAGTTACTCTGCCCCACACTTAAGTAAGGGCATTTCTGTCTTTGTAAACATTATTAGAATCTAATATAGATTAAGGGGRTCGACTGRATGKGTDAWCYATYAGATTTTCGACAGACCCTTCTTCTTCTTCTCTTCTTCTTCTTCTTCTTCTTCTTCTTCTTCTTCTTCTTCCTGCTCGGACTACTGTAGCAGCTGTCGAAACATGGTATCAGAGCCATGCTCCTGACCTAAGTCAGTTGGTAAAGCACCTCAGCATTGTTCATGACTCTTCACCTTCGTTTCTGGTCAGTCGATGGAGAGAACTGGTTCGCCCTAGGTCAGAAACATTACAGCTTGTYTCTCTGCTGCGCATAACCTTCTTCAACAAGGAAAGTGACCAGCAGTGAATGGTTGATTGATATTCTCAAAGGAAGGTCGGTTCTCTCTTCTTCTAGTGTTACTTATATTTCTGGGTAGAAACCCTACAAGAAGCTGTTAGTACTGAGTAGAACCTAGAGAACTAGGTTCATTGTTGCCCTAGGAAGGGCTGTGTGT